TTTGGTGTCAATCTGGCAAATTGTTCATGAGTTATAGCGTACTTTCAGTTTTTACTAAATCTAAGATGGCTGCCAAAGGAAGCCATTTTTCAAAAATCTGCTTCAGTAACTTTGTAGAGCTATGGCCATAGGTGCTTTAAAGCAAATTTCTGATCACATGAATGAGTCATTTTTAAGAAGAAGATTTTAAAAGTTTTTGTCAATTTTCACAAAATCCAATATGGCGGCCAAGGTCACATGATATTTGCTAGACATGAGCCAATGATGCCACACAAAAAAACGGAAGTTCCTAGACCCTCAGAAAGTGGTGCAATTGAGCACTTCCGGTTTGTGTTCTACCTAAGATGGCGGCCAGGTCATGTGACCTACATAGCTGGTTTTGGGGTATGCACCACAACTCATGGCCCTTTATCAGCATGCAAAATGGCAAATCAATCGCAGAACTTACAAAAAACGGCGGAAAAATAATAATAATAATCAAAGCAATTACAATAGGGTTTCGTCCCATAGGGCTCGAAACCCTAATGAATGAAAAACATACCTGCTCCAGTGTTTCAATAGTGAAAGATATAAACTGCTGAGTAATGATCCCGATTTCAAGTTAAACAAAGACATCGTGTCATTTGCAACCTACAACAAATTATTTACAACAGTTTGTCATTTTCTAAAACTGTCAAGTTGATATTTGTCAGATATCAGACATAAACTAAAGGTGCTCCTGTATGTTAATTGATTACTAACCATAGAAATTAATTCAAAGCTAATATAAGGACACTTCACAATGAAAGATTTTTCTGGTCAAGAGATGTTTATAGATATTATGGCACTTGATATAAAATGGTTATAAGTAAATTTTTAAATAAAATTTTACTAGGAAACAGGGGTATGTTTTCACTTCACAATATTATCTGTGCAATGTTCACAGAGGAGTATGACAACTATGTTGAAAGAAGCATTTCCTACCTGTGTCTTCAGGGCAGATATAATATTATCTAAAATGACTTCTTTGGTTGGATCATCGTTAAGACACATTATACAACCCTTTTGAGAAAAAATACAATAATGCTGATAAAAGAATGAATGGCATGGAAAAAATATACAAAGCTTTAAAAACTGTTAACATATCATTAATGAATATGATGTCGTTGTAAAATGAGAATTTCAAAAGGTGTGTTAATGTATAATGTATAAGTTGTATATTGGAATGTTGGTGAATGAGATA